TTGGACACACTGGAAGTAGTTTTTGGGGGGGGTTTTGCCAAAGGTATTTTGTTTTTTCCTCCCTACAGAATCAAGTTGCGGACCTTAAGGAGATATGCAACGCACTGAAAAAGGAAAAGACAGAGGCAGAAAAAAAGCTGGCTCATATACGTGGAGTATGTTTTTTTTTTCCTTTGCCTACACAATCTTTAAAACAACTGAAAATAAATCTGTACATAGGAATTAAAACAGAATCACAGTTAACAAAAAAATGAACTAGTTCTGATCTAATACATGATTTGTTCTGTGATCCTCATCAGGGCGGTCACAGTGGTAAAACAGTGCCCGAGCTCGAGAAGACGATTGGATTGATGAAGAAGGTGGTGGAGAGGGTGCAGCGGGAAAATGAAGCACTGAAGAAATCCAGCGCCACTGTGAATCAAGACAAAGTCACTGCCCTGGAGAAAGAAAATATTAAGCTAAAGGTTGCCAATGCCTGTCTCACCTTACACATCACAAACGTTATTTTGGGAAGGTTTATTTAGCATCTCTGTTCCGTGACTGCAGCTGACAGTAAGCGCTGTTTTCCAGGCCGACTTGGAAACACTGAAGCGTGAGGCTGAAACTGAGCTGAATTCCAAACTTGAATCCAAAACCAAAGGACTGGAGAAAATAGTGATTGAAAATGAACGTCTTCGAAAGGAGATTAAAAGGGTAACTTATTTTATGACTTATTATAAGTTAGTTTTAATGAAATTGGGTCGGGGCAGAATTAATTATTACAAAAAAAACAATCAAAGTCTAAATGCTTGTTTTTGTCTCTTGGCTATGCTTGAAAATGTGTGTCACTGTAAAAGGAAATGGAGGCTGCAGAGAGGCTGAGAGTGACCAAGATGACTCTAGAAGTGACAAATGAGAAGCTTGAGGCAGAGCTGGAAGACACCAAGCAAAGACTGAGGGAAGCTCTGTCCAGGCCCATCACAGAGGGAGTGGACACTAAGACCATGAAGTCATCTGTGGTAACCAGGTCAGCAAAACCAGTAGTCTTCCAGAAAAGGGCACTTAAAAGTAATTTGTAAGCTTTAGGGTTGTGCAGCAGGTTAAATCAGCAGCGTGTGACTTAAATGCACAATCATTATCATGCCCATGGGATTCAAACTCTGGTATGCTGCGAAATAGACTGTCGCTAACAGGCTTAGTCAGCATTATGGAAACTCTTTGATAATAAAGGCTGTTCATTTATGTCAGTCTCATGCTCAAGCTTTAATAAGACAATATTAACAAACAGCATGTTTATTTACTTTGGACACAATTTGAGATCTGATGGTCATTTGACTTCTATTTGTGCAGGATGTTTGAGAACAAGATGAAGGAGCTGGAGAAGGAACTCTCCCAAAAGAACATCCGACTGTCTGAACTCAAACAACAGCTGAAAGAGATGACAGAGCGGGAGGAGAGAGCTCAGATAACAATACGACAACTCGAGGATCAGGTGGCAAAAACTTTAAAATGTGTTGCTGTTATTTGAGATAGAGTGATGAATCTAGAAGTCATGACAATCTTTGGTAAGCAGATACTGACCAAAAATGTCCATTTTTCAAACTTCTTGTTATTACCAGGCTGTTTTTAATCCAGCATCTTATCCCTCTACTGCATGACTTTTTAATTTTTGGGGAGCTTTAGGGTCCCTAATAATATATCAATCATAAAATTTGACACCTTGCCCCCCCCAAACAGATATTGGTTTGTTGCTTCAAGGCAAAGTTGCATTAGTACAACAAGGATGAACAAATAAATAAACAACAAATAAACAATGTAAACATTTCACAGAACAATAAAACACCAAAATACATCCAACATTTGACCCTAACCCATGCACACGCACGCGCACACACATTGTTTCTCCATCACTTTTGGGGACATTAAATTAAATTACATTGATTTCCTGGAGACTTATCCTGACCCTACCCATCACAAGTCCCTGCCTGAACCTTACTCTAACCCTGACTCAAGCCTTCACCCTAAAATTTAATGATTTACCTTGCAATTTGTCCCCATAAAGTAGGCGAGACCTCACAATGTGAGTGTGTAAACAAATTTGTGTCCCCACAACAATAAGTAATACACGACCACACACACTAACACACACACACACACAGTTACTTTACCAACTGACCCCTGAGCTCCTAAGTGTCCCTCAAACCTCATTCAGGGATCCTCTCCTCTACTTCACTGTCACTCCCTGAAAGCTCACTGTCCTCACTTTCTGAGGACAGAAAGTGCACATTCCCTTGGTTTCCTTCCATAAAAGGTTTTTACATCCATGTCCTGTAATTATGAGTAGATTGTAAAGTAAAAAACATTGACTATGATCATATAAATGCACACAAACACATCTCTACACACATATGCTAATGCATTATATTGCCTGAAAAAAATTGGGCTAACTGCACAGTGCTGCCTCGAGGCAATGAATGAAAATTAACAGTTTTACTGTATAAATACATTTTAAAAAGTAGAACAAACAATCAAATGTGCTTCTTAACTTATTCATGCACATACAAGTATTTTTTAATATACATTTATTTCACTATAAACATGTAAAATAGTGATCTTTTTGTTGCCTCCTAATGAGATGTCTCTCATGTAGTGCACCTTGCAGAAAGGGGTCCTGCCCCCCCAAATGAAAGTCACACCACCTTCAACTCATCATTTTATTGGAAAGAGATGTGTCTGGTAGCATTATTTGAAAAAAAACAACTTTTTTTTTACTTTTGAAGGGCCAGTGTAAAGGATGAAAATGTGGTTTGTTACCTCAGGGTAACGCTATGCAGTAGAGGGTTAAGTTAATTTGGACAGCGATTTTTTTTTTGTTGGTAGTTTTAGTCATATTTTGACAAAAGCATCATTTAGTTTTAATAAATTATTTTAGTTTTATTCGACTTCATGTCATAAGATTATAGTACATGAAATCTAAAGTTGATTCAGTGGAATAAAATATAAAGTGTAAAAGTTTGTGTTTTTAGAGTTGCTCCACAGTTTATAACGCGTCTTTTTTTCCTTGACATCAAATGCAAAATGAGTTGACATTTTCTGTGGACATTTTGTCGTGTTTTCAAGAGAAGCGTTAGTTTTTATTAGCTATCGTTCTTTTTTCTGTGGAAAAAAGAAATGACAAAATCTATGATGTAACACGGTTATGTCTGTGACAAAAAGTTTTGTCTTTTTAGGTGCTGTATTTGATTGATACTATCAGTTTTTCATTTTTAGGCTGACGTGTTAAAAACCTTTCCTGCTGCTGGAAAAGGTGATCCAAGAAGCAGCAAGACCTTCCAGGAAATCCGGTACGTTAAACTTCGCATGAAAATGATTTTTTTTCTTTCTTTGTCTGAAACATTCAACTTTATATTTTGCTTTTGACTAAACTCTACATGTCATGTACGTGAAGACTGGCCAGCACTCAGCTGGAAAAAGAGAATGAAGAAATGAAACGAAGGATGCAAGAATACAGTGAGCGATACGGCGAGACGACATCTAAACTAGGCGAGTCTTCCAGCTACACTATTGTTTTGTCAGCGTGAATCTGAGGGAGGTTGGGACTTTTTTTTTTTTTAATATATGTGCCGTCTTAACAAAAACCTTGATAACTATGAGGTACAGTACTATCTAAGGAAGAATCATAATGGTTTCTCTTCTTGTGTCCATAGATTATGGGAAACTCAAAAAACTTCTGCAGGCAGCTGAAACTGAAAAAAACAAACTTCAAGCTGAGGTCACGAAGCTGAAAAAAGAACTGGAGAACTTTGACCCAGCATTTTTTGATGAAATCGAAGACCTGAAATATAACTACAACTTAGAGGTAAAGAAGAATGTTCTGTTAGAGGAGCAGCTGAAAAAAGTGTGTCAACAATTTGGGGTAAAGGCAGAAGTGCCCAGTGTGTCTATCACTTAATGTGTGATATGTAAGTCATGCTTTTACAGTCACATTCCTTGGAAATTTTGAGGAAGGAGTTTCCTTTTAACAATGAAATGACACAATATTTTTGTGTTAATATGTGAATACTAACTTATTGTTGTGAGAATGTAAATTTGTACGTAACATGAGAGTTTTTTTTCGGTGTACTGTAAGTCACTTTTGTATTCTGTCAAATAAAAATTTGTTGAATAAAGTGTTAATATTTATTCATTCATTCTTCACTTAGCAACAGATGAGTTTGGGGATACAGTATATATAAAGTGGTCATTTTTAAAGGGAACCCCGGCTATTAAAACATGTTTGCGCTAAAATATGCACTGTGCTTTCAATAACATGTGGTATTAAAATACGCCAAATGTTTTCCTTTTAAGCACATTTTATATAAAACCGATTTACCAGTAGGCTGCCATTGTTATTTACTTCTCAATGCACTCTGGGTAGTGACGTCACACGGTTGCACCGCATCGAGTTCAGTTAGCAGCGCACTGGAAATGGCTTCAGTTCAACGTTTCCAGTTTGAACCAGAACAATCCGAGAGAGAGAGTGAAAATAGTCAACCAGCACTTATTTTAGATGTAGATGAAAACAATCCGTCACACGAGGACGCGAGAGTGAGGGAAAACTACTGGTGTCTATGCGGCTACCGCTTGCCAATGGCAACGGCGACTGAGAGCGTTTGTTGTAAAGAGCTCAGTTTTATGGCAGCAGCTATCCATGGCATCGCATAACCGCATGATAAAAACATTAATAGAATTCTAATTTTTATTATACAGTGAAATTACGATAAAATGTCATTGGTTTATTTCAATAACTCCGTCCGATGTTGTACCAAGGTCCCAACGCAGGGGAAACAAATTCTGTCGGGGATTTGGCACGGGCAAGCAGTAACCGCATAGACACCAGTAGTTTTCCCTCACTCTCGCGTCCTCGTGTGACGGATTGTTTTCATCTTCATCTAAAATAAGTGCTGGTTGATTATTTTCATTCTCTCTCTCGGATTGTTCTGGTTCAAACGGGAAAGGTTGAACTGAAGCCATTTCCAGTGTGCTGCTGTGAACTCAATGCGGTGCAACCATATGACGTCACTACCCAGAGTGCATTGAGAAGTAAATAACAATGGCGACCTACTGGTAAATCGGTTTTATATAAAATGTGCTTAAAAGGAAAACATTTGGCATATTTTAATACCACATATGTTATTGAAAGCATAGTGCATTTTTAGCGCAAACATGTCTTAATAGCCGGGGTTCCCTTTAATAACTTAACATGCTAAAAAAAAAAAGTTGGTCAGTTATTTTTTTTACATTAAAGCAGTACACATCTCTGCAAAAACCATCTTAAGTTTTGATTCACTCCACCGTTTCTTTTGTGTGCCAAACGTTAAACTTTGGCAGTCAGTTTTCTCCTTATTTTTTCCACTAACAGCTCACTTACTGTAAGTTACTCTTAAGACTTTCATGAATTCAAAAAGCAGCAGTTCTTAACTGGTTTCTGTGGAATAAATTAATCTATATGAGTATAGGATTGTAAATCACTCGCATGGAATGACAGATGAAATATCAAGGATCTATCAGCAAAGCGGCAGATCCTCACAAGACCGCATGGACTTATAGCTCAAAGTGAATGTCCTGAAGCCGGCTGAAGCAGTGTCCATTTAGTGCGACAAACGATGTAAACAACTCCGTGCTGCCATAAGCGTCAACACGGATGGCCGTCGGCTTGTTACCAAGGCAAGTGTTCGCTTCTGGCCACTTCAGTCCCAGGTGATGACGATGAACCTAACAACACACACAGAAGAGCTTGGTGCCTGATTTCACACTATTTAGAACACTGAAGCATGACAGCATTGCTCCCTGTAAACTGCTTATGGCAGCTCAATCTTTTAATACAGATACTTAAATCTATTTTATGTACTGAATAATATATATATATATATATATTATCCCACCTTGATGAGAGTGCCATCACTGCAGTGCCAGACTATGCCCTCAACTCGACCGTCTGGATTCTCGTGAAACCAGGAGCACAGCTGCTGGAAGTCCACAGGTGGTGGGTTTCTGATTGGGACACTCCCATGTGTAACCAGGCAGTGGACAGGCTGTTTTTTGCTGCCCAGCCCTGTTTGTACAATATTAATGAATCTTGGTTTACTTCAGTTTTTCCTTTTAAATCAATCACCCAATGAAGTTAATGAATGTTAATCATTTATTAACATTAATTAATTCCTAACCACAGCTTATATATAAAAAAAATGAATGTAGTTTCTATTACCATAGGGGTTTCCATTGACATTGGTTCCAATAAGCTCCAGTGTTTGTTCCTGGAGCTCAGCTAATGGGACTGATGTGATTTCTAACATGTCTTCGTTGTCACGTCGAGGCCTGAGAACAAGAGCATGCCCAACGTTGTAATCCACCACAGAGGAGTGCCAGCAGTACTGCTTATTGTCTCTCTCCACTGGAACCCAGCCTACATATTTATAACAACAAAGAAAAGTACTCGTCATGCTGATGGTTTCCATGTGAAGGACGATACTTGCTGCTTATCGTCCCTTTGACACTTACCCCCATTTTTCTACATAAACTCTTTTACATAGACATAGGTGAATTCACTGCACACAAACTAAAATAAGAACTAAGAACCTGGAATATGTCCATGTTCATCGGGCACTGGACAGCCGCTGTGATGTTTGACTCCATGAGCTGGGATCCATGTTTCTGGCACCGGTTTAAAATCTTCCTCTATGTTCCACGTGAACCCTGAAAGAAAGCCCAGAAAAATAAAACCCTTCCCCACTGCTAAATGTGTTATGTATTAACATTTTCCAGGCCTTTTCTTTTTTGGTCCACACTCAATATTCTCACAATTAGCCCCATAAGTTTCTGGTAATTATGCTTGTGTATACCAATACAGTGGATTTTTAAGTAATACTGTTATTAAACCCTTTGAATTGAGGCTCAGAATCTGCTTCAGTCACTAAAAACCCACCGTGGTGATGTGTAGAAGGAATATTACCAAAAAAAAACGTGTTCAAAAATCTTGGGGGAACTGTTTTTGACAAAGTTAATCTACCTTTACAACTTTTGTGAGAATGTTGGTACTTTTTAAACCTCTTCTCTGTTTGTTTGTTTGGTCTTCTGTCAAGTCGAGCCCACAGGTAAGGCTGCCCTAAAGAAAACAGATCAATTCCACTTAGAAAACTACAAAGTAGTAGCAGTTTGTAGATGCTGACGAGGAAATGATCAGTGTTATTCTGAGATCTTCTCACCTTTATAAACTGTAACATAGCAACAGGTGCCATCAAGTTTTTCAGTGGCAAGCGCACTATGTATGTTAGCCTCCAGAGCAACAGGGTTCACATTTTCTGTGGCAACAACCTGAAATTGCTAAAGACAAGCAAAACCACATGTTTGATCAGTGCAAGATATAAATGAAAGTGACTATACCCAACATTAGTAACGGTACCATGAATGCATAAATCAGTTATCTACATATTATATAGCATCAAACAGAAGCCCCACATTATAAACCACCACTTTTCAATTATAAGCTTGGGCTTGATTAAAGAACCAACAACAGACTACATGACTGTGCTGACACTGAATTAGCTGCATAATTCATCTAATGCAATTTGAGAATAATTTCATGACTGCAAAGTTTTAGCAACCAGGGAATCAAAAGGTCAAATATGAATCTGTACCAGCTTCTATTTTCAAAAAACACACATGACTACAAGACTACATTTATCACAACATAAAAACATAACATTAAGGAGATACAAATGAGGTGCCCATGATCATCAGTATAAAGTGTCATCATTATGCCAAGATTAAAGTGTTCTCTACAGCTCTAGATGGATGGATGAAGTATATCAGTTTGGCAAATGATTCAAAAACACTTATTTGAAATCTATCACTCCACTGAAAGCAAAATTATCTTCAAGTGGTGTAGAGTTTGAACAAATGCCAAAGTGCTCAGGGCACATATGACATGAATTAGCTGGTTGCTCCAGCTAATTCAGAGAAAAACTGTGCAAAGGAAACAGGCCTCCAAGAGCCACAAACTTTAATCCCAGACTCTGCAGGGAACTCTTGCACCTGATTATTAGAAAATTAAAGAGGGGAAAAAAATTTGAAAAATATTACAGTTTGCCAGTTAGCCTTATATCAAGTGGATAAGTGGATATGGCATGTTGAGGCTTGGGTGCAAAATTTATGGTTTTCAGGGGGTTTTATCGTTAACTCGGTTACCCTGGGTCTTTTCCCGTGTTGTAGTTGTGTGTCTTATTTTGAAAGAAATATTTACGTGTTACCATAGTGACCAGAGAGCATTAAGGGGCAGAGAGGAGGATGTTACTCTCAATGTTGTTGGCGTATTTCACGAGGACGCTGCTAATAAAGTTACACAATTACACAATGAATTTGCATTTATTATTATTATAATTACAAAATCCTATTGATTTTGTCTTGGTCGTTTCATTTTATTTTGCTGTATTTATCTGCGACACCTTAAAGGCAGGTCCATGAAAATATTGTCTGACATTAAACCGTCCGTGGCGCAAAAATGGTTGAGGACCAGCGTGAGTAACGGGCAGAACAATTACAATCTCTTCCACTAGAGAGCAGTACAACTACCTGCTCTAATTAAATAGGTTGCCAACTGCCAGAAGATGATGAAGAAGAAATTAAAAAGTCATGCTGTGAGACGACGCAGCACATCATAGCAATAGATAAATATTTGAAAAGAAAAAGTAGTCAATCTGACCCAGATGATGGCCCTAGCATGAGTAGTGGTTCTGCTGTACCTGGTGCACAGGAAAAAATAATCAATATGAATTTTTTTAGCATCCTTGCTAGCATCCTAAAAGACACTAACAACACTTTTTCATCTTCTGCCTCCATTTCAAGCATCCTCCTCTGTCGCACAAACCCTCTGCATGGCCTTCTTCACTCTGGCCGTCCCCTTTTCTTCCCTGGCTCCATCCTTCTCTCTGTCTCCGAACATGCCTTCCAACTTTCCTCTTTGGCCAACAGCAACACAACTTCCATCCACACCCTGTTGGCCAACAGCACCGTAGGCGGTCGTTCTTAACCCAGGCCTCAACTGATCTGCTATGGAAATCTCATTCTTGATGATTCACATGGTTGATTTACATGTGATTGCCCTTCCTGACACAACCCTCCCCATTTCTGCTGTGTTGAGAACGGCACTAGCACTACATCGGCTTGTGGCCCCTCTGTGGTAGGGTTCTAAAAGAAAAACTAAACAACCGCTAAAAAATGAATAAAGAAAATGATAGTATTAAGTTACTGATTATCTAGGAAAATGACTGAAATAATTCTTTGCAACAATTTAACTTGAGGGTAAACAGCTAATGTGTGAAAACAGACTTTTCCTGTTATATGTAGTTCTATCCTGACACCTGCAGATCTCTCCTTTGAGCTGTGTATATTAACATCAGATACTAACGCCTCTGCAAGATCCCTCAGAGCTCAGTGAGTGAATAGTAACAGGGTCTAAAGTCTTTCGGTAATGAGCATCAGTAATTAATATCAATTCTCAGAAACAACTTTATTCATTGATTTTTTTCCTGTAGGGTTTAAATTGAAACCAGTTTTATTGTTCTACAAGTCTCACTGACTAGAATCCTGAAACAGGCCATCTATTTGCACTTCCTTATATCAAACTTGCAGTTAGGTTTAGCCTACATTTGAATTATGTAAAGATGCTCTCAGTGTTACACGTTATGAAACATTAATTTAATGTCAGGTTCTTCCATGTCCTTAACGATAGAGCTGAAATGTCCATAAGTCTTTAACTGGCACGTTCTTCCTCTCTTCTTCTGCTTTCCAGTAGACTGGCCAAAACTTTCTTCATTCCAGAGTTTGTTTGTTTGTTTTTTCCAGACTTGCAGTGACTAAGCCTGCAAGAGTGGTCTGCATATGTCTGTGTGTTACCTGACAAAGAAGATTTTGGTGCTTTGGTAAAGCTTGAGTAAGTAGGAAAAACCCTTCATTCAGCCATGCAGGTATTTGCTCTACTCTATTCATCACACAGCAGTGGCTCTACTCGACTCACTGTTAAAAACAGGAAAGTTGGCACAGCATATAACTGTTTAATGCCAGATTGCACCACATTTACAATAAATAAATACATCAGACAGAGATTTCTCTGCTGTTGAAACCAGCTGCACAACTATTTGTCACGACGACCATGTGTCAGTTAATTTGTTCAACCTGTTGCCCTTTTTTCTACATTATGCAAATAAGTGTGGTCCTCTGCCGAGGAAGACCTGAGGTGTGTCCTCGTGCTACAGGCGAAAGGACAACAGTTAGCCACCTCCCCCTGCTCTGGCTCAGACATTTACTCTGCTTACATTTCATTTCCAGCAAAAGATAAAAAGACACGACTAAAAACGTGTTCACGACGGGTGCTTCTCCGTGCTAACAACTGTAGCAGCAGGAGAAACCCATAATAAACCTACTGCGCCTGATAAAGTGTCTGCAGATGCATTCACCTGACAGTCGCGTTTTCTGGACTGTTCTTCCATCACGTCAGTCAGAAACACACACGGTATCTTCTGCTGTACGGAACCCAGGCGTCTCATTTCGTGTGCTTCCTACCAAAGCTGTAACTTAACGTTTACAAACATGGATGAGCAAAGCAAAATAAATCAGCAATGGTTTGGCTCTGGAGTTGTCTTCTTCTTCGTTGGTTTTATGTCGGTGAGTAAATACCGAAACGACTCATTACCGCCGCCATGTTGCTGCGTTGGTAACAACATGTACCCGTGTGTATTTGGAAGTATATATTTTTTGCTATTTTACGTGAAATAAATGCAAATAAATGTACTTTTACTCGACTGGCAGAGAAGATTTGGTAAGTTTTTCATACTCGTTTCTGCTGCACAACCCACACATGCATTTCTTTGCAAATTAAATGGCGCCCTTTAAGAGGAATTAAACAGGCTTTGCAACAGTATTTATTGCCAAGATGCAAAGTTACAAAGAAATATTTGCCCAAACATAAATTACCTGACTTTTTGTGCTAAATCTAGATATGCATATGTCTATGTGTGTGTATATGTGTATGTGTGTGTGTGTGTGGGGGGGGGGGGAGGGGGGTAGAAGACACTTGTAAATAACATTAACACAATTTATTTCCATAATAAAAGTAATAATAGTATTACTTTGAAAGCTTGCTTGTTAGTATCTGTCACACTATACAGGTCACACTATTATTATTATTATTATTTTCAATATTATTTTACAATATGGTCTGTGTCAGTTACATATTTGTATTGTTTTTTCTCCACCACCAGGAGTGAAGCATATGTTGGCTTCCACCTTCATTCATGTGTATATGGCAGCAAGTCTAAACATAGAGCCAGAGTCAGTTGTCTGTAGCCAGAAGAGTCCTGCATCAGGCTGTATAAAGGATTTTTATGAGTACAACAATTAACCGAAGAGTTTATGACGTAAATGATCTTCTAATCTTGTTTTTATCAGACAACACAGCTGCGTCTACAAAAACTTGCACAAAATGGTCATATTACTCTGAAGAGTTTGCTTTGATGTCTGATTTCACACAGAGAGTGATATCACTGGAGTACTTCTGGTCTGATTCCTCTTCATTGTCATCATCATCATCTCCTTGCGGTCCATACTGGCCGAGTTGGTTCATATCATTATCAGTAAAATTCCACATCTCTGTCTCGATGTTATCCATCTGATGCCAGTGAGACAAGCACCTGAAAACATTCCTTTTCCAAAAAGACAGAGAAAGTGTTTTTAATAAAAGACAATATATGTGGATTACACCACATTATTGCAAACAAAGAAACAAAAGTTGTTCCTTAAGTGCTTTAAGCCATGCAGATCATCTGGAATCATTACTCACACTTGAAAGTACCACATAGCGCTTGCTGCAGCCAGGAGCAGAAGAATGATGCCAAGAACAATAAGTGTTACATGTAAAGCTGATAAAGAAAAACAACAACAACAAAAAACAAGTAAAGAAGTTAATTTGATTAAAATCATTTATCCAAATGTTTGGGGATTTTTTTTGCTGAAATGATGTTAGCAAAATCAAACAATGAAAAAAGAAAAAGTGTCTTAGATATTGCACAACATACCTCCTAGAGATGGTTTTGTGGAGATCTTAGTCTGTGGCAGCACCGACTCAGAGGAAGCTGGGAAATTGAAGGCATGAGTGGAAGCAGAAAAGGTAAAAGTGGTACCAGGGGGGTTCAGAGTGGTTAGGGGAGGCAAGGAAACAGGAATATGGGTCGAGAACGTTTTAAAAGAAGGGGTGGCAGAGGAAGAAATCCTAGCTGACCGCGATGTCTTGACAAGCACATCAGAAGCTGAAGTTGAGGGTGTGGGCTGAAGTGTCGGCCGAGATTTTCCTGTTATTGACTTTTTTGTTGAGGACATGGACTTTGTTGTTGATGTGACCAAATGTGTGGTTTGAGTTGTCAGTGGAGTTGGAGATGTGGGGGATTGTGGGCTGGCTGTTGTCTCCAAATCTGTTAATGATGAGAAAATCAATGGTTTAGTTCTATTTAAGTGATCAGATGGCTGTAATTACAGGCAGTAATTAGGCACAACATGAAAACCACTTGCGGGTCACAATCACACTGATCATGTCATTACATTGTTATGTGCCACTCAGACACTTTGGTCTTGGCATTAGACATTTGACATCTGTGATGAATGAATTGACGTTTATGGCGTATATTAGTCTCATAAACTAAGAAAATAAGTAATACCGGATGCATTGAAGCAGAAGACGCCAAACTTTTTATCTGCTGATGTCTTCCATGACACTACCCCAATATTGCCCTGGCCACAGTTTTGTTTAGAGGAAATTCGTGGGATGACGGCAATCTGTTCAGCTATCCAGCCATATCTGTTAAAATAGTAACAGTAATATAGTAATGGTTTTTATCCACATATTAAACAGCAATCATTATGGTTAAAATTAGGTCAGTCTGTCCAATTAGTTTTGAGCCACAGAAAATCAGGGATTGTGTGTAATTTATAAACAGGGAATGCAAATGTTAAACTCCTTGATTTAAATAATCTTTGGTTTAATTTAAACTGTGATGGTGTAAGAAGGCAAAATTACCCCCCAAAAAAAGTGCCACTAACCAAATATATACGGACCCAAGTGCTTATGCAATACATCGATCTTGTGTATTTGGGACATTTAGTTGTGTTTTCTAAAATATTTTTATGTTATTACTGGGAAACGCATTCGAGTTAGTCACCTGTTTTTGTGCATGATTTATTCATATGAAATCTTGAAAACTGCATATGGGTCAACATGTATTAAACCCTAGTTAAATGCTTTCTGCTTACTTGCACGTTTCCAGTCCATGTGTGATTGCTTTTGATATCTGAGATTCCGTCGCCATGGTGACATTTAGTGAAAGACAGGCATCTCTGGCAGCTGTGAAGTTCAAGGTGTAGTAGGTTCCTCCTTCAATAAGCAGGAAGACTCCAGTGGCTCTGTAACTCTCAGAAATTACTAACAAAAAAATTATGAAGCGAATTTTCTTTGTAAATAAATCACATCGAAAAGATTGATGGATGTAAAAGAAGAACTGACTGTCCTGTGAAAAGCCTTATGATCTGTTACTTATGATGTAAAGTATACATATCAATATACAGGTAAACCACAGTGTGTACATCTACTTTACAAAGAAATAAACCATAATATGAGCACACACACACACACACGCCTTGTGCGACAAAGAATACTCAAAAAAACATTTAAAAAATCTTTTTTTTAATCTTTTGCTAATATTTTAAAGTTTACAGTTATTAAAGTTTAATATCACAGAAGGAGCCAAACATCTTCATCTTCTTAACAATAAAATCTGATGGCAGTCTTAAAAGACATTTCAAAAACACGAGTTAAACTTCTTAACAACTATGAAATTTTAGAATTTGAAATGCTAGACTTGTGGGATATCCCAGGATTAAGTCTAAAAGTGAATGAAGAAATAAACATACAAACCCCTTACCTCTATTTAAAGTGGATTCGCAGGTTTGTAAAAACAGGGCAAAAATCACAGGTAATACTGATGACAAACAACAAAGTCTTGCCATGTCTTGTATGACAAAGTATACCCAACGTGGATGAGGGTGGAGGATCAAATAAACTGAAGCAGAGGGAGAAGCCCAAGAACAAATGTGACAGGGAAGAGAAAAGGAAACAGGAAAAACAAGGTCAAATCTGTTTTATGGCCTGTTAGGAGATAGGACACGCATCCACATGAGAAAGACCTTCACGGTAGCTCTCTAAACATTATTGTTTGGGTGATCAAATTGCAGATGCATGACATATATGACATTTAAAGCACTAATCTTGTACTAGTGATAACATATTAATAATTTCCAAAGCAGAGATATAGGAATATGGATTTCATAAAATAATCAAATAAAAGGATGTAATAATCGAAACTGTCAATTGGGTGAAGAGTTTATTCATTTTTTAAAAAAATCAAACTTTACAAGTGGATATGGTTAAAGAAGCCTTCTTAAATGATGTTTTGTACTATTTTTATGAGTTTGAGCTTTTCTGCTTCGTAAGCATCTCTGATGAAGGTATTTTTGCACTCCATAAGCTGTAGGAAAAGGAATTTCCTCCCAACTGTTCCTCTGCTGTCCTCACTTTTGCTGTCTGCTATTGGAACCAATTTTATAAGTATAACCAAGTTTCCTCTGTGTTTATATTATGTTTCAAATCATCACATTCACGGCACCTATCAAAGATCAAAAAAGGAAAAAAAATCACAACTCATGGCACATAATCTTTGAACTACTTGTATATTTAAGTCTGTCTTTCACAGTAATGGTGCAAATGTGTTTACAATTGTTTAAACTGCTGTGTGCTTGTTTACTTTTTAGTTATTTTACGTCCTACATCGATTATGCATTGATCAATCATTTGTTTGATCTTTTCATTTCATAAAGCGACTCAACATGTAGCACTATATCAGCCCCAGCCCCTTTCCATTAACAGAGCTTACAAAATACATACATAATGTTGATATTATACATTTTTTTCAAAATAAAATTATCAATCAATTTTTATCAATCAATGGACTAAAAAGTGTTGTATACAAAAATATAGTGTTGTATATTTTAAAAAGTATAGAAAAAATAAACCAGTTTTAATCTATTGATACAGCACCAACCCACGACAACAGTTAACACAGGGCTTTTATATTATAGAGACAAACTGCAGGAGTCCCTTTATGAAGACTGTATATACACTTGCAAACACTGAGAAGAAAAAGATGCTTAAAAAATGTTCAACTTCAGGAAGGGTGCACAGCTGGAAAGCAAAGCGACAAAATACATGTGTAGAAGCACAGTTATTTATGATTTGTGACCAGTAAGATTTTTCCCTGGTGGTTAATGCATAGTAACATAAACAAGAAAGCTTCATGGTCAAGGTAATTTGCAAGGTAATTTATATATTATATATTCCACATGGACAAAAAAAATACATAACAGAATTTTGGGATCAAATCATTTGGGATAATAAAAATAAGAAGTGGCACACTAAATGCTTAAGCCTGGAGCATCATGTGAAACGCCTCACTGCAGTTTAGTTTCTATCTTAGTAAATACCAAGAAAAACATTCACACAGGTTTTCGTGAACACTTGAATAATTGAATTGAATTGAATAGAATAAAGTTGAATGATTTTCAGTGAAAGGACTCATGAATATTTTTGCATTAATTTTTTTTTATGATTAAAGTTCAGTTCAATTCCATTTTATTTATAGAGCGTCAAATCACAACAACAGTCACCTCAAGGAACTTTATATTGTAAGGTAGACCCAACAAAACCCAACAATCAAAGTGTGGCATTTTCAGTTAAGTATTAAGTATTGAGTATTAAGGTTATTTATTAATTACGTATTGATTGCATATGGATTATAAACTCAGCTGACGGATTTAACTTTTTGCACTATTAAAACTAGCCTTTCAATAAAACGATGCATGCTTTCTCATGTAATCTCCAATCATGTGATCAGACCTGGCATTTGGTACCCTGAACACATCATAATCACGAGTTAAAGGCATGTTAGAATGACGAGTACTTTCCCCTGTTGTGTTAAAACTTGCAGTATCACCACTTTCATTCTACTGCAGGAAGCAAAACAGTTCAGCGTGTCCTACTGCAATGACTCAGTGACTGTTGTGTAAATAATGGTGCTTCCTGCCTTCTTCAGGCTGAAGCAGTAATGACTGAGGAAAGCGATAGACTGCTGGTCCACTGATAGGCCCAGGAAAGATGTTAAGTGGTCACACTTCCTCGGTTGGGTGTGTCTATCTTCTTCTACAGACTGTCAGAAAATCACAAACCAGTAAAAAAAAGTGTGAATACATGAAAATGAAACCTGACATCACAAGAATAGGTCTCAGTGACCTTTCAAGTATAGATATAGAGCTGTGTGTGTGTGTGTGTGTGTGTGTGAGAGAGAGAGAGAGAGAGAGAGAGAGAGAGAGATGCTTCTGTTGTTCTGATATGCTACCCATGGTTACTGGTCCTTAGTTAAGTTAACTGAAAAAACTTTAAGTACATAAAAATAAATTGACACCACTGGCTTTTTTTAATTTCACATATAAAAATTATTAATAATTTTAAAGCTTTTTAAGGAATAGAAAGTGTCCTCTTACCAAAACACAGAGACTGTTTGCCTCAGTGCGTTTTCTGCTATCGTATTGCCCAATAAATGTTGAATGAAGCTGGGCTGGTGATAGGATCCACCCAGTGAACCAAACATGAAACTGAGAACTTTATTCAGGTTGCTGGCCTATGTTCTAACAACAAACCAGGAGCCCTTGTTTTCCTTTGGTGACAGTGACATTTTGGCAAAACTGCATCAGTCGTTTTGTTTTTTTCTCTTTTTCTTTGAAATGTCAATCAGGGCCAGATCGCACACAGATCTGCAGATGTCCTCGCTAGATGACAGCCTGTACAAATCTTTCTCCATGAGCAGCAGTAACGTTAACAGAGGCAGCCGGTTCAAGGATGGGGTAACGGAAGAAGTTAAAGTCCTCTCCAGGCCGTCCAGGAGGCCTGTGCGGGCGGTCAGGCCAGTCAGCGCCGTCAGCTCCAATGGCTCCTTCCTCCAGCTCAATCATCTGCAGGGGGAGCTGGTCAGAAAGAGGAAGGTAAGAAGGTAGAAAAGGACATTGAATTTTTCTTTTTACAAAATGTAACGTTAAGATTAAATAATTCGTATTAACTCTGATTCAGCATTTGAATATTCAGGGAATTGTAAAATCAATTACAGAGCTAACACACACTTTTTTCACTTTTAGAAACTTTTTTATTTGTATTTATTTATTTTGTAGATTTTACTGCTGAGTTCTCATATCACTCATAACAGCAGGTGTAAAATTTAACATCCTCCAGCCTCACTGTAAGTGCATCCTTACAGGAAATGTCTGATAAATATAAATAATTCCTGTTGTGTAAGCCAGTGCACTCATGACCTCTCAGATATCTAAGACCTTGGTTCAGAAGCTGAATCCTTCTGGGAAAACCTGAAGGAAAAGAGTTTCCCAGACGAGCGTAAAAAATGATCACACTCGTATTATTATTTCCAAGGCCAGTTAAATGATCTTAAAAAGACGACATGAACCATAAACCATAAAACGTAAAACAAAAAGCATGATGAATGTGAAAAAAATGCTGTAAATATAATGAGAACTTGTAAAGGTCATAATTTCTTATGATGACATAATTCATTATTTTATGAGTTTGTATATTTCGGGGTGGGTGGTGGTGCTGGGGGGCGGCTCTGTAGCTTCTAGTTCACACTGTGTGTCACTAATAAATTCTCTCAGGAATGTGAGGACCTGAAGAAAGAAAACAAGTATTTATCAAACGAGATCCACATGGAACGGATTATGATGCGCACAGAGAGTGAGCTAACCATGAGGAACCTCAGAAACTTGAACCAGGAGCTACAGGCTCAAGTTAAGGAGGTACAGCCAAACAGTGTTATTAAATGGCACTAATAACCAAGAGATGAAACAGTGGGCCACTTATGAGCACAAAAACGAAAGTATAACCACACGCCTATATGGTAGTCAATCAGACTTTTTGGAAGGAATCAAGACATGTTCTTCTTTCAAACCTTGTCTTTACATCTGTTGGAAAACTTTAATCTAGTTACATCAAGTTACAATTGGCTTATAGCAGCTTCCTGTTCTCCAGGACATTAATGTTAGATTCATATGTTAAAACAGCAGCAAAACAGCATGTGCAGTGTTTACATGCCAGCTTTAAATGTCAGACTAAATTTACAGCTCTAATAAAATATGTGACCTTTTTATATTTTGAAACCTATGTGTAAAAAAAACTGCTAGCCATTCCTCACCATGTTTTTGACAAATGGGCAACTGAATGTGTAGCATAAACCAGGAGAACCGTACAGGCCAGACTGCTTGACCCTACACAGAGAGGATTATGTGGCTGTGGTATGCTGGGGGAGATCTTTGTGGCAGGAAATGTGACTGCCTTTTCAGAACTGCCATTGTGTCAATGAGGGAACATGAGGGATCTTTACAGTAGGCATTCTTTAAATAAAAGTAAGTGTTATAAACGAAATTGTTATGTCCAGTAAAGCTTGTTGAGGTGTTTAAAGTCTTAGATCTAGTTTTATATAAGACATCTTATACGAATGTATGAAGGAGATGCATATTATTCCGCTAACCTATATCCATTCATGCCAGCTAAAGCAGACCCTTGTCACTCCAAAGGGTCAGAATCACGTTACATTGGCAAAACAAAGCAGGCGTCTACTGTTTCTCGATCATGTCACTGCAGTACACATTCACCTCTCTCTGTGTGACCCAAATCAGCTGAAGCAGAAGCTGTATCAGAGCCAGCAAAGGTCAATGTTATGTTCGCGAGCTGCAGATGAAGCAGAGGAGTCCAGGGCGGAGGCAGAGAAGGGCAGGGCTGTGGCCGAGGCTCGGTCCCTGGGCTTTCACCGGGACAAGGATGCAGCTGAGGCTGACAGGGGACGTCTGAGTGAAGAGCTGCAGAAGCTTAAAAAGGAGGTAAACACATGACAGAGAACGCTGATCTATTAAGCTGAATACAATTCCATCCATCCATTCACTTCCGCTTGTTCTTTTCAGGGTTGCGGGGGGCGCTGAAGCCTATCCCAGCTGTCTTAGGGCGAGAGCTAAATAAAAAATTCCTTTGATTGTTTCTTTATCTTACTAAATAAATAAATAAATAACACTGCAGCTGGGCAAGAATAGGATAGAATATATACTCTTCTAGCTAAATGAAGTAAGACTTTTTTCAGTATTTTATGTTTTCCTTTTCTTACCTTGTGAAAAGGTTATCACATTTTCTGTTACTATTATAAGACTAGAAACAGTACTTACAGTATTCACATAGTGGAAAATGACTTTTGATCATTAAAAACAAGCATTCTAAAGTTAGCTATTTTGGGAACATGGGAATATTTGACATGACTACACCATCAATTTTCCTTGATGTCACTTCGGGGCTTAATGAGTTAAAGTGAAGGATAAAGCCTTAAGAGGAACTTTCCAGGATATGTACATGGTTTGTGACGCCCGTGTCATCATGGCAATCCATCGTCCAAACTGCAGATGCAATCTCTGTGGGCAGAAATAACTCTTTTAGACGCAGTTTTCCAGCTGAGTTCCTTTTTTTGTTTAACCTCAGTTAATGAACTTCCTGAATCAAGCAGGAAGATTAGCGTTTGACTGAGTTCATTCAATCAAAGCCCGTAACACCTAATTTGACATCTGCTTTTTCTTTCTGCAGCACGCGAACGTGCAGCTTTTACTGGCACAAACAGAGAAGAACTACTTTGAAAGTAAGCTGAAGTTGGATCGGGTGTCTGGCGAGAAACAGGCCCTCCTGCAGGAGAGCAGGAGCCTGGAGGCAGACAGAGATGACCTCCGACACAAGCTGAGGAAGCTCACCCAAGAAAATGTCCAAATTAAAGAGAGGTAGATACATTTTAGTGACACCTGGCAACTGTGATTGATTTTCTTACATCCCACTAAATCATCTTAAGTACCTCTCTTTTCTGATTTTTGCTTTCAGGGTTTTTTTTTTTTATCATTAATGAAAAATAGGAGTTGTTGTGCTTTAGTCCTAGCTTCTTCTACATAAATAAGAAGTTGTACTGCCTTAACAAGAGTAGATGAGGGAAGCAATAATCGATCCATCCCTTTTTCAGGGTCGCGGGGGGCACTGTGGGGCCTATCCCAGCTGTCATAGGGCGAGAGGCAGGGTACGCCCTGGACAGGTCACCAGTCTGTCGCAGGGCTAACACACAGAGACAGACAACCATTCGCACTCACATTCACACCTATGGGCAATTTATATTAATCAATTAACCTATCCCCACAAACTGCATGTCTTTGGCCTGTGGGAGGAAGCTGGAGTACCCGGAGGGAACCCACGCAAACACGGGGAGAACATGCAAACTCCACACAGAAAGGCCCCGGCCAGATGGTGGGGTCTAACTCAGGACCTTCTTGCTGTGCGGCAACAGTGCTAACCACCATGCCACTGTGTTGCAAATCTATGTATAACAGTACACTGTGTGAGCCCAAGAAGAAATAATTTAAACATCTTAGTTAGAGATGTCTTCTTTATTCCTTACTTTCCTGTCAAAAAAGTGAGATTTTTTTGAGTGTGATAAAAAAAACTAATTAAAGTGGTTTTTGTTTTTTTTAGCTATTCAGATTTTTTGATTAAAATGCATTTTGTACCACCCAGTGCTCTGTGATATACCAAATACACAAGCTATTTTTAAAAATCCAATCTAATTCTGGGAATATAGGAAAGATCAATTCTAATATCAGGATGTTAGACCTATGAAAATGTTTGTATATGTGTGTGATTACTTTGACTTTTGTTTTTAGATTTCCCATTTATCTTCAGAGGGAATTTCCCAAAACTCAGTGTCATTGTCCATGACCGTCCGTGGTGCAACAATAACAGCCTTTTAGTTGATAGCTCTGAGAAAATTCAATTCAGCTGAGTCAAATCAGCAAGGCAAAGGAGGAGAAAACAGAAACAAAGAGAACAGTCAGAGGAAGCGTACTTGACTCCAAGACGTTCCGTACAATATATAAAGGACTTTAAGAGGCTGCTCTGCTAAGTAAAAGTGTAGAAAGTCTGTAAAAGTGTACTTGTTTACCTTCACTGCTCAGTTTTCACATGATCTCTGTGTTGTCCCGTGAACACAACACAAGATGACTCTTCTAAGAGTGTGAGGAACAGTACCAAAGACCAGGTGTTCTTATTTTGCACAGACTTCGAGTCAAACAACAAATACCTGACTGGACGACACAGTTAACAAAAGTGCTTTGAGTACTCAGAGTAGAAAAGCACTATATAAGGACCAGTCCATTTACCATTTTCAACTCACGTCTTAGGGATTTTCTTTATTGCTTTTCAGTAACTGCAGACCAGAATGAGAGTACGCTTCACAACAGGCTGAAGACAAGACGGTTTAAAGATTTAACTGGATTTAGCTTAAAGGTGCATGAAGATGCAGTCTGGCTATGATGTTTTAGCATGCAATTTCATCCTGTCCCTTCGCAGTGAGATGAACTGGAAACGCAGAGCGACAGAATCAGAAGAGGAGAGCAAAAGAGCTAACCAGGCTCGGCGGGAAGTCGAGGCAGAGAGGCATCTGGCTGAGAAGGAGAGGCAGGAGAGAGTGGCCGAGTGCCTGAGCTGGAGGGAGAAGTACCAGGAGCTGGCTGACATGTTTCAAGTTCAGGAAGACCTGAAGGCTCTGAGGCAAAATAAAGCAGTAAGACAGCACCACAGCTCTCACGCCCACTGAACAATTACAAAACAGTGGACACTACTGTGCTTTTGTGCCATCTCCCACCCCTTATCCCCAAACAGTCACGGTAGAAATTATTTGAACTGAGCATAAAATATACTGTTTAAATGATTATTTCCATCTTGAAAAATGTCCCTGAGTGATTCACTGTGGTACAATACTGCAAGTCACACGTTTGCAACAAGGCTGAAAGAAACAAATGTTGGTTTTGTACATTTTCATCTCTTTAAAGTAAAATCTTTAAGTGATTTTTTTTTTCTCAACAGTGTCAAGCCCACATCAAAAGCTACTTCCTGTGCATGACTGAAAGCGACCAGAGGGTTAAAATTCTCAAAAATCCAGATGGCACTCCGAGAAATTTCACAGTGAGATGATCCTACATCTCATACTCACAAGAGATCTGTGCATGTCTAGGTCAACAATACAGGACATTTAAAAAGTAAATCAGAAGCTTATGTTATGATTTTTGTTCAGGAAGGAGATCCTGTATACATCTCCACTCCAGAGTCCAGCGTTGAAGAGCCTGAAAGGAGTTCATCTAGGTAAACAAAAACTGTGGCCACCAGGGGGAAGCCACACAAACTACAATCGTTTGATATGGTAGCAACATAAGATTAAAATTCAAATTTACAAAAGGCAAATAGGTAAGCTTTTCTCTGGTTGAAGACCACTATTAAGAATTAATTGTGAACTGTATTTACTCAGGACCATGCTCAGGGTGACAGCACCACACATGGGGAGAGATCTGGGTCCGAGTCACTTTGATGAGCTGCCTGCCTATGGAGGAGAGCGACCCGACTCAGGCCCTCTGCGCAGAAGCAGGAAGGTGGTGGATTACTTCTGGATTCCCACAGATCAGGACTGACCACGAATGTAACCACATGCTCCTGGGAAAATCAAAGTACTCCAGTAGAGCTGCTGCTCGGAAGATTCAAACTGTTGTTCAAGTGTGAAGTATTTTATTGGACAGATGGAATATGTAACTGTAAAGCAGAGTAAATACAGGTAAACAGTAGGTGCTCATGTACTGACTTTATTGACATTAAAGCAATAGAGGTGCACAATAACTCTGAATACCTTACAATAAGACCCTAATTGTATGTCTTAGACATAATCATGGCTTGAGAGTACAATTCTTGGTTAAGCCTGATGGTCATTTGTTTAGCTTTGGAAGAAGGGAAATCAATTACAATTTAGTTTGCCAATTTAAGAGCCACACAAATTTAACATTTATTATTTTGAGCCCTCAATATAAAAACCAACCTCATCAGGGCCGCTTCAAAATCTAGTCTACATTACTCTTTTGATAAGTACACATTTCATTATGTGGGTGAAATTTTAAAAAAAAAAATCCTAATGAGATGTTAACACTTGTAAAACATGCAACGGCATCATTGTTAATGTCTGCTTCAATACATTTATTGTGCAATTAGGCCAGGATTAAACCAAATACTTCAGCATCTGCATGGGCTCAATATTCTTCTTAGTGGATTTCTTTATCCCAGCACAAAAAAAGCCCATCTAACTAAGAGGTAGAAACACAGGCAACTTTGAAACGTGACGACAGCAAACCAATGATTACAGATTTATTTTTTTTCTTTTTTAAATATTGTAACATTTGGAGAATGGGTATTGCAACCACTCATAATAATGATTAAAAAAAAGACAGGAAGAAAGGACAGAACAAAAAGAGTAATGCTAATGAAAAAAAACAAAAACAAAACAAAAAAACATGCTCATCATCAGTTACTTTGAAGAGCACTTATTTATAAAAAAAAAAAAACAAACAAACAACAAAGTGGGAATTTAGTGAGCACATGTTGAATAAGAGACACCTTTATCAGTCATGAAATGTTTTGCCAGCTTGTGCTTCATTCAACTTCAGCGGGCCATCTAGGTTTGACGTGTGGTTCACGAGAAGGATCGCTGTGCAGCCCGTTTGTCTACATCCCCGGTGCTGTTTTTTAAGCATGTATGATAAAAAGCAATCCAGGCTAGGCCCTGATAAAAGCAGCTTGCTGACAAGACCTTATGTTAATGTTTCTAGTTGTTTGCTTTGTAACTAGAATTAGCAAAGATCGTGAAAGATTTGTCTTATTTTAGAGAGGAAAATCCTATATGTTCTTACCATAAAGCAGTTTCCTATCTGGGGGGGGTTTAAATCCATAAGAAAAAAAAAAAAAAAAAAAAAAAAAAAAAAAAGCAATACAGTGAAAATAGAGTTACAACCTAACGGAGCAAATTAAGAGAAACAATACATGGTTGAGCCACTCTAGAATTCATGTAGCTGATTAAGGAAACAGATCTCAGAAAATTAGGCAACAGATTAAACAATGCTTCTCAGCCCATCATCACGGTGCAGGTGGTAGCACATGAGGCCCTGTAGGTAAAAGCTTTCGGTTTATATTTGCGAGACACAAGCAGCTGAGTGCCACATCGTAGTGGTTAAATTAAGCATGGAGTTTAATAAGGTAACAAGTCTAACAATAAGATACGGTTGATCTACGCCATGATGCTTCCGCTTGGTTTCTTAGTCTGCATCGTCCTCAGATTCCTCCTCCTCTGCCGTCTCCAGCCAGGTGAGCCACTGGTTTACCTGAATTTGGGGGGGGGGGAAGAGTTATGGTGTGCATAAAACTTGTCAACTCTTGTGTTTTCTTTCTAACAAACTAAACTGCACTACTGTACCTGGAATAAAGCTTTTCCTTTTCCAGGGAATTCTTGGGTAATGTCTTCTTTCCATGCAAGGAAGGCTTCCTCTTCAATGATCTCCATGTCGTAGAAGTTGACAAAGTAGCGCAGTAGCATGCCTTGTTAAAAACAATAAACAAATGAATTAATATGCACTTAATTCACAACTCCTGCATTATTTATATTTCACTTTTGTAACTAATCAGAGTAATCAAGACTTCACATCCCTGCACTCCCCATTTCTTGTTGCTTACTAGCTAAACTGTACAAGATTTGAGGATACTTTACCTTTAGGGAACCCTCGGGCATTGCAGTGCACCTGCAAGGCGTAGAGGGCGCTGACCTGCAGCTCGGTATGGTCGTGCAGGAACTTCTGCATGACGGGCTTGAAGGCCAGCAGCAGCTGTTTCTCTTGTTCCAGCATCTCTTTAGAGGGCGCTGCCAGTTGCTCATCACCCTCTGCCTCGCACAACTCTTGGGAGATGTACTGGAGGAAACTGGAAAAAGATCAGAGGACAAATGTTAGTTAAACTGAAGAACTTCTGTACAAAGTTACAATGCCTTAAATGTGTGACCTTGTGGCCATATATTTAGTGACATCACAGACAAACCAACACTTGTATGCAATTTATAACTGTTATAAAAACAGACTAAGACTATCCTGGGAAAACTGAGATTCAGTGAAATCCATCTGCAAATTTACCTGGTCATGAGGATGTTGACAAAGCCTTTATCAGTGTGAAACTTGGGTGAAATGTTGTCTTTAATCCACTTGTAGATGGACTGTGGAGAGGGGTCTGCCTTTATCTGCTTCAGCAGCTCCTTCTCCAGCTTCAGCAGAGGGAACAGGAAGCTCAGGCCTTTCCCCTCCAGGATCTCCAGCATGCGGTCCTTGTTCTGATCAATTTCTACCAAGTTGGAGAGCAAGTCATGTATTAGCCAGACAGAACGTGCTCTTGATATGACCCAGGTAATTAAGGATTCAGAAAGTGATCATTTTAATATGGTCAGGAACAAATATTTAGCTCCGTCCTATTAAGATTTTATTTACTCACAATACTCCAACATAACATGCACAAGAAGCATCATTACCTACAAAACTCTTCTGACAAACTGACATTTGGCAGGACTGTATGTTACTGTAACTTCATTTAAATATGAATGTAATGTTGTCTCATTCAGACATCATCGATGGGGGATGGGGCAAACTTGAATATTCACTGGGTACTGTACAACTATTCTGGTGATCGTTATACTGTAAACTGGAGGGAAATGCTGAGAATATAATATGACAGAATAGAAGAAGCCTAATAGATGAGGGGAGAAATCACTTTGGCATTTTTTCCAGGAGGGGGTAGAGTAACCCTGTGCTCTCTTCCATCTGAGATTTTATTCCTGTTAACACTTGCTTCTCCCCCTCCCTTTGCCACTATTGCCAAGTGCTTATTGGTGATTTTAAGATTTATCTGTTGTGAATTGTTTCTATATTTAAAAATAATAATAAAATTATTTTTTTTTAAATCCTGAATTGGTAGATGGATTGGGGGCCTACCTGGGAGCATCTTCTGCATATTGACCTTGCTCTGCTGGAAGAGGTCAGTGAGCCACTCACGATCCTTGAGCTTGGCCGTCTGCTGCAAGCAGAGCAAGAAGAGTGGGAAGTGGGTTCCGTTCTCCAAGGGGTGAGCCAGCTCTGCCACGCTCACCAGCTCTGCGATGATAGCCCGAGCCGCAAACTGGGCCAGATAAGACTTCACCAGGGGCACGTCCACCTCGATCTTAGGGCACTGGTCCAGGACGTTAAGGAAAGCCTAAAATGAGTGAGGGGAGAAAATAAGAAAATACCTCAAGCAGGAAGAATAACACTATACCCTTCTGGGTTCAGTGACATATGATGTAATTAGTCACAAATAATTACATCAATCTCAGTGAAATAATTGTGAAATAATAAAAGAGCTTTTCTTGTCTTTAAACGTACTGAATGTGTTTGTGCTCACACACAGAAATGCTCTCCAATACTGAATGAACAGCAGACGTACCTGCATGAAGTTCTCCCCAGTGATGAGGCCCTCAGTGCGGAGCGTGTGAATCAGAGTGCTGGCGTGCTCTTTGTCCTCATCAGGACAATCCAGGGAGCACACGATGATCTTACTGAGCATCTCTGGCAGGAAATGCTTTGGAGCCTTCATCTCTCTCACGCCGCTCACAGCCTCAGTCAGGTTCTTAGTGTTCAAGTACTCAGTCATGATTGCCTCCTAAACGGAGTAGACAAGCACATGAACAGAACTGAACCGTGGTCACTCTGATCACCCAGCATAACAAACTCATCTGTAGGTCTTGTGGTCCCATCTACTCTGTATGCACATGCTGAGGACGTAAAATGCTTCAAGTCTCATTCATCTTTTTGGTGTACTGCAAGATAATCTGCTTGCTACTAAAGTGTACATAAATATATTTTGCCACTTTTATATTTCACCAGTGATGAATAGAAACTGCTAAACAGGGAGGCTTACCAATATTTATAAGTGAACTGCTTTGCTGTTATGGTTACAGCAAAGACTTTCAGAAGACAGTGTAGCAAACCTTTTGGAAATCTGACCTGCAGTTTTAATTCAATTGTGAGTATGCTGTGGTAAAGCTTTTTATTCATGAGGATTTTACATGATTGTTAAGTGTTGCTTCAGCCTGGAAAATATGCTTATGTGACAGAAACTGTTCTCCCTACCGTCATTTTAAGAAGCTCCTCCTTTGCAGGAGGTGGTTTCTTGTTAGTCTTCTGCGGTTTCTCTTGAATAGGTGGAGGGTTGGTCTTCAGGCCAAGCTGTGGAGGCTGAGGCCAAAAGTCATGTATTTGAGTTCACAGATACAGCTCTCCAACAAAACGACACTTTAATCTGTGATTTAATGTTTGCTGTTTATATGCTAGTTGTACAACAACCAGTTTTGTTGTTGTTGTTGTTTTTCTTGTTTTTTTAAACTCACCAACGGTTCTCTTAGATTAACTCACTGACAAACAAGTAGACACTCTCATACCTGTCCCAGAGGGGGAGTCTGAGTGCGTGGGGGTTGGGCACTGGGAGGCATCATGGTCGGGATCTGGGGCTGGAGCTTGGGCACCTGGTTCTTATTGAGGAGGAATGACTGAGCAGGCCTGAGGCTGATCTGTGGGGCCAT